TTAAAGATTGTTCTAACATTGTGGTATCAGAGGAATTGAAAAAAAAGGGATAGAAAGGCCCTATACATATTATATCAATCAGTCGATGAAATTGTGTTTGAGAGAATCTCATCTTCAAAGTCAGTAAAGGAAGCATGTGATACCCTTTATAAGACATATCGGGGAGAAGAAAGAGTGAAGACGGTCAGATTACAAACTTTAAGGTGTGAATTCGATGGGTTAAGAATGAGGGACTCAGAAACAATTGAGGAATTCTACAATAGAGTGATCATGATTAGAAATCAATTAAGATTGAACGGTGAAGACATAAATGATAGAAAGATGGTTAAAAAGATCCTAAGGAGTCTAACAAGGAAGTTCGAGTACATAGTGGTGGCAATTGAAGAGTCTAAGGACCTCTCATTCTTACCTCTTGAAGGTTTAGTAGGTACTCTTCAATCTCATGAACTTAGGATGAAGCAATTTGATTCAACATCTTATGAACAAGCATTTCAGATACATCAATCTAATTCACAAGAGAGAAATAGATTTTTTTTTGTAAATCTGAGATCTGAGAGAGAGTATTTTTCATATTATTTACTCAATGTAAACAAGTATTTATACAACAGGCTAAAAGATATTGTACACANGATCTGAGAGAGAGTATTTTTCATATTATTTACTCAATGTAAACAAGTATTTATACAACAGGCTAAAAGATATTGTACACACGGGAACACCGAAACAACCATAGACCGCACCTAAATAACTCACATACTATGACCAAACAGTACAACCTAAATACAATTCTAATACGCCCCCTCAAGATGGACTCGTGAAAATGTTTTTAAGAGCCATCTTGGAAAGAATTGGTAACAGTTTGGAACGAGGCAACGGCTTAGTGAAAATATCGGCGAGCTGAGAACTACTTCGAATCGGCATCAACTTAATAGTATGATCAATGACTTTGTCACGAACAAAATGGCAATCAATCTCGATGTGTTTCGTACGCTCATGAAAAGTTGGGTTGGAAGCCAGCTGAATAGCATATGTATTATCACAGAATACCAAGGTAGGTTCATAAGTAGGAACACCAAAATCACGCAAAAGACGCTGTAAGCAAACAACTTCACTGGTGACAGCAGCAATGGCCCGGTTATGGAAACACACCTCGGCTATGGAAAAACTCAGTGAATGCCAATTCTTTTGCATTGTCTGATCTAAAAATTCTTACCTTTGCTTCAAACTGCGTAAGAACCATATCAAAGAATCTAGGAATGATAATTTGAGCTTCAGACTTGTGTTTGATCAAGTAAACCCATGTGTATCTAGTGYAATCATCAACAAGAGTCACAAAAAATCTATGCCCCTGATATGAATCAATATGATATGGCCCCCAAATATCACAGTGAAGAATATCAAACGGTTTATTCGAGATTTTATTCAATGAAACAAAAGGTAAACGTTTTTGTTTTGCCAAAGRACAAATGGAACAAACATGCTTGTTTATATCTTTTCCAACAAAAATYTCCTTATCTATCATCGTAAGCTTCTTGTTTGACGGATGCCCAAACCGTCGGTGCCATGTTTGTACGGAAACAACATTCACCTTCACTGGAGCTGCCTGTTCCAATATGTAGAGACCTCCTTGTTTGCTACCCTTGCCAATCATCATCYCKTTYTTCATCAGCTGTATGATAGCAAGATTATGATAAAAAAGAACCATAGCTGTTCGATCCATTGTTAGAGCATTAATGGAAATCAAATTGAAATGAAATTGAGGCACTAGCAAAACATCTTTGAGAARTAACTCATCAGTGAGTTTAACGTYCCCTTTCCTGTGCACTTTAATAACCTCTTCATTAGGCAACACTACTTTGAGATTGTTAACAGTTTTAGTGCTCAGAAACAAACTTTCATCATGACAAATATGTTGGGTTGCTCCAGAGTCCAGTACCCAAACATTCGATTTATATAATTTCGAATTAAATGTCAAAACATGACATATACCTGAATATTTTTCTACTGCAGCAATATTAAYGGAAGCAAGTCTACCAGAAAGTGCTGCCATCAACTGTTGRCACTGAAAACTTGTGAGACCATCCACGACACCTTTGACTCCAGGTACACTGTCATTAACGGGTCGTTCAACATCAGGTTTTGGCTGTTGTCCAGACATGACACAATTAGCAGCAGAATGGTTATCAATCACAGAATTAACACTAGAATTCTGATTCACTTTATAACCAGGGGGAAACCATGGAGCTTGTAACATTTGTCTTGAGTGTGGCCTGTTCGTTTGCAATGAGTACAGAAAGGTGGTTGACCCTTCTTGAAACCTCTGTAAGTTTGATTACTAGATACACGAGACTTRTTAAAATTTGCACTCCGAACGTTGAGAGCCATAGACTGATTTTGGAGTTGGTTTACACCTACAACTCTTTGCCTCTCTTCTTGTATAACAAGAGAAAAAATACGATTTACAGGCGGAATTGGATCCATCAAAAGTATTTTCCCTCGAATCTGTGAATAAGAATCATTTAGACCCATCAAAAAGTTCATGGTGTGTTCTATTTCTTTTGCTCCACCACATGTGCACTTCCCACAGGAACAATGAACATTGTAATTCGATAACTCTTCCCATAGTACCTTCAATTTTGTGAAATAGACACTCACAGCATCTTGACCTTGTGTCAGATTCATCAGATCACGTTTGATTTGAAAAATACGTGGCCCATTACTCTGTTGAAATCTTTCTTTAAGTTCCTTCCACATTTCGTAAGCCGAATCAGAGTAAATGATGCTAGCCGATATGTCTTTGGATACCGAATTTAGAATCCAAGAAATAACGATGTTGTTATTCCTGATCTGTGACTTCACTTTCAGTTGATCAGAAACATTCGGTTTGGAAAGAGTTCCATCTATGAAACCAATTTTGTTCTTTACATATAGGGCTATCTTCATTGCTCTGCTCCAAGAGGCATAATTTTCACCTGTAAGAATTTGCGAAACCAACACAAGACCAGGGCTATCTGAGTGATGCAAAAAATACGGATCATCAATCTCGACAGTAGTAGTGGAACGCATTATAGATTCACCCATTGAATCGTTCTGGTTCAGATCTGGATCTGAAAAATCAATATGAACAAAACCTAAAAACAATCGGAAAAGAAAATTGACCTTCCAAAGATAAATTTAAGAATCAAAGAACAGAGGAACAGAAGAAAAATTGATCGATCAACAATCAAATCAATACAGTAGACGAGAAGAATCAATTCGATCGAAGAAGAAGAAAAAAACGATGCGTGCAGAAGACGCTCTGATACCATTTTGTAAATCTGAGATCTGAGAGAGAGTATTTTTCATATTATTTACTCAATGTAAACAAGTATTTATACAACAGGCTAAAAGATATTGTACACACGGGAACACCGAAATAACCATAGACTGCACCTAAATAACTCACATACTATGACCAAACAGTACAACCTAAATACAATTCTAATATTTTTCGATAGAAGACATCAAACAAAATTGAAAGGGAGAGGCAAGGGAAGACCACAAACGCCCATGCAATGTTATCATTGCCAGAAATTTGGTCATATTGCAAGATTCTGTCAAAGCAAAACAGCAGAGGAAAGAAATAATAGTTTCATTAATAAGGAAGATGATGATACCATGTTTATGATACTCAACACTCAAGAAGTTACTATCCAAGCAATACTTGGTATATAGACAGTGGATGCAGTAACCATATGGCAAGAGATAAGAAAATCTTTGTTCAAATTGATGAAACACAGAAAAGGGAAGTCAGAATAGGTGATGACAAAAGGCTGAATGTTCAAAGTTTGGGAGACATACTCATAGACACCATGAATAGACAGAAGAGGATTTCCAGTGTCTACTATATTCCTGAATTAAAACATAACCTGTTCAGTGTGGGACAACTACTACAAAAGGGTTATGAATTACACTTTAAAGGAAAGATATGTGAAATAAGGGACCAATATGGAAGCCTTATGGGAAAGATCAACATGACAAGTAATAGGATGTTCCCTTTAAATTAGAATGAAAACACCTTATTTTCTTTCAGCATGTCTACAAAGCAAAACACCTTATTATGGGATCAAAGGTTTGGGCATACAAATCTGGGTTATTTAAGTTTTATGCAAAAGCATAATCTTGTTAATGGAGTTTGGGATCAAGCTCTCCAAAGACAGCAAAGAAGGAAGTATAGATGGCTGTTTATATAGGAGTCTGATTGGAAGTCTTATGTATTTGACTGCTACCAGACTAGATTTGGATTTTTCAGTTAGTATTTTAAGCAGATTTATGGATTCATCAAAAGTTAGTCATTGGGAAGCAGGAAAGAGGATCCTAAAATACATTAAGGGTACTCTAGATCATGGCATTATATATTCTAAGTCAACCAACTTCACACTTGTGGGTTTTAGTGATAGTGATTATGGAGGAAGTTTTGATGATGGCCGAAGCACATGAGGGTATGTGTTCCATATGGGATCTGGTGCAATATCCTGGCAATCAAAAAAACAAAGCGTTGTGGCACTATTTTCTACCGAGGCCGAATATATGGCACTCTCAATGGCAGGCTGTCAGGCTCTTTGGCTTAGAGATATACTACATGAATTGAATCACACTCAATGTGGCCCTACTACTATTTTTTGTGACAATAATTCTGCCATTGCTCTCACAAGGAACCCTGTGTTTCATGGTAAAAGCAAACACATCCGAGTTAAATATCACTTTATTAGAGATTTGATCACAAATGAAGAGGTAATAGTTGAGTTCTGTGGTACTAAAGATCAATTGGCTGATTGCTTCACAAAAGCACCGCAGTGTGGAAATTTCAAAGGCATGAGGGATCGTTTGAAGGTTCAATCCTGTCTAGCTTAAGGGGGTGTGTTGAAAGTAAGCTAGTCAGGATGGTCAATCTGTTCTATTGAGAGTATGACAGTTAATAGCGTTAACTGTTAATATAGTTAGGAAGGGTCATGACGGTTAATTAACTGTCATACATGTTCATGAATAGTTGTGTCGATTTTGTTTGAAGGATAGTAACCCTTCACTGTGTATATTAATATCTGTAATTGTATGATTTACTATTGATAATTGGAATAATAAGATTGGTATGCTTAAAGATTGTTCTAACAATCTATTGGGATATCTGTTTTTGACTCGATGGTTTTTCCTTGAGGACGCCTGTCCGTCATGCCTTCAGAAATTCTTATGTAAAAGGTCTTTAGAAATCCTTCCGGTGATTTTTTCCTCCGGTAACATAACAGGTTGTCCGTGATCCTTCGGTAATGTTTGCCTACGGTGATCACCGTTGATGTAGTAGTTTTTCCGACCAAGTTTTGACGTGTTCCGACAAATCTGTCCTGTAGAGATTTTGATGTTCATATCCGACTTGTGACGATATATAATCATTCTATGACCGAGCTTCTGAAGGTAGAATCACTGGAATCACCATCGTTCAACTACAAAAGAGTAATTGGATTTCATGAGAAAAAAAATATAGTGCAGTGTCTGCATGAGATTTGACACAAATCGATGTACCTTTAATCAAGCTAACACATGATAATCGTAGTGACTGACCCAAGAATTTTTGGATACGGTGGCACCACATAAAACGATTGCACCTTTTACGAACCAAATTTTTTTTACCTTACCACGGAGGAACAATACGGTGGCACATGCCACCTAACCACCCCTCTAGGTCCGTATTTCCGTAATTAGGCAAAGATATATGCTTACCATATTCATATTCTCTATTTCAGTACATATACAGTATGCAGGCTTCTAAGTTACACACATGCTGAATATATATGATCTTTGTATGAAGTAAATGGGATCAAGAAGTAATAATTTCATTTCTCCCCATGTCATATAAAACAATCCAGTAAATGAGTATCATAAATGGTAAAAAAAGCTTTGTTCTTTATATAAATAACCAGGTAGAAATTGTAGAACAAACCTGTTGTTGCAACCACTGCAGCTCGGTGTTAAGGTCTCTTTCGATCGTATGATTTGTTCCATTAATCCAAATTTCCCTTAGTTTTGGTGTGCTTGAAGTTCCAGCAGTGAAAATCATCATCTCCTTGCAGCAATCAATCCATACCGTCTCAAGCGACGGCCATATAAAGTCATGCAACTCCGAGCAGAAACACCTTAGGCTTGGGAGATCGATGAGTTCTAGAGATTTTAGACGAGGGAACACAAGCTGATCACTTCGATTTGTTGCTTGGATGGCCTCATGCTGACTTCCTTCCTTGAGAATTACTGTCATCCTTTGACATTCAGTTACGGATAATTCTTGGAGATGAGCTAGAATAGTAGCTATTGAAGGCAAGAGTACATAAGTTAACTGATGGCAGCTAGCTACTGATAGTTTCGTCAGGTTCTGAAACCCTACGAAAGTTTCGGGGCCGTGTTTCCAGATATGTGTCATCTTTGGCAAACTTTCCAGCTCCAAATCGCTCAAATTGTTGAGCACCGGAAGACCTTCCGTAAGCAGCTTCTGTATCTCGAAGACGATCTCTACCAAATGACAATCCTCAAGATGAAGTAATTTGAGACCCTTTGGCTTTCTTAACAGATCAGAAAGTACAACACTTGATAGATCGTCACATTTGCAAAATGACATAACCCTTAAACTGACAAAACATGAGACTGGAAGCAGATGTTTCTGTATCTCCTTCATTTTCATCTTGGAAATTGATAAAACCTTTAGTTGCGTAGTTGCAAGAATCTGCAATGTTCAATTATCCAACTAACATCAATCGTGTTTTCCTTACATCGCTAGAAAATATTGTGCCAAAAATTGAACCAAAATCAAGTACGAACCACACAATAGATGATAATAATAAGAGACGAACCTTTTGATCGAACAAACTGTGATTGGCGGAAGATCGATTTTCATCTACGATATTCAATGCCTGAAACTTGGGAAGGTTACGAAGCCGAAATTCTAACAGTTGAGGAAGCACAAGTGAGGAAACATCTTTGGAAAAACCAGTGAGACGTGGGAGATCCTCAAGAATCAAGCATTTTAAATTTGGGAGCTCAATCTCAACAACAGATCTTTCATCTTGATCTCTCTTCTTTTTTAAGAAAATTTCTTCCATCATTTCACACCCAGTAATCTTGAGGTTTTCAAGCTTAAGAAAATCTGTTGGGGCGTTGAGCGAGAAAATACTTCTTAAATTAACACAGCGCACGATTTCAAGATCATGTAGGTTCCTAAACAAAGGTTTCCAAGATGTTTCCGGTTCATCTATTGTAATTTCTCCCACAGCCGTTTCATGGTACTGGCCATGACATATTTCTGTCAAATGGCACATATCGCAAGATTCTAGCTTTAAGTTTCTCAACATCAAGAAATTCGAACTTTCAGGATTGCTAAGAATAGAATTTGCTAACAACCGCCAACCATGCAAATGCAAGATTTCAGTTCTATTGAACAGAATTTCAAATCCATCAGCTTCCCAACTAGCTGGAAGCCGTAATGTCAGTGTGTTTTGAGCCATCTTGCTCTCGGTAGAGAACCCTATACATACCTTGAATCTTTTAAGCCTTCTGAAGATGAAGTCATGTGGTAGAAGATCGTAAACAGATAATTCAATCTCTAAGGCAGTCAACAAAGATAATGAATTGAGTTCTCTGATGCATGTCGTGGTTTGTTCATCTGGCCAACTGACTAAGGTTCCTGTCATGTACAGTTCTTCTAAGTGGATCAATCGTTGCAGAAGTCCAGGAGCTATATTAAACAGATCTCCACATCCGGTGAGATCGAGTACTTTTAGTTGACTTAAATTTCCAATTTCTATGGGTAATTCCTTAACATCGGAGTGTACAAAGCTTAGAATTTCCAGTTTCACCAGATTGCCTATCATTGATAAGTCGCTGGTTTTGTCAAAAGTGCAATATTCTAATGATAGATTTCGGAGTTTGATCGAGACTTCAAGTGATAAAGAAGTGGATCTAATTAACATTCCCCTTAAGAGTATTACTTTGAGTTCAGCCATAACATCATAAAAACCTGTTGGAAACTCCAATGATTGGTTGCCCCCAACCAAATGCAAAAGCTCGAGTTTTGGGCAATTGAGGTTATCCGGGAGTTCAGACATTTCGTCACATCTTAGAGAGATGGAAGTACAGCATTCATCAGTAAGTTCAGATGGCCAAAACTGCAATCCATCACCATGTTTGACGACAAAAACGTGTTTGTTCGTGGATGCAATATTAAGACCAGAATCACGCACTAGATCGTGCAGTTTTACAGACAGTTCATCCCCTCCATCCAACAATAAATTCAGATTCTTAAGTTTCTGAACAAAAGCATGTGTTCGAATCCTAGCTTCACTAACCCCATCTGTTTTCTTAAACAAACTTAGTCCCAACCCGAGTCTTAACAAATCTTCGATGGAAATATCATGACTTTCAGGAAACAAGCAACATAGTAGAAACACATGTTTCATCTCATCGCTTTCTAAAAAATTGTAAGTAACTTCAAGACTTGAGTACACAGATGCATACTCTCCTTCGAGGTTATAGCTTCGTAGTCTCTGAAGTGCATCATCCCACATAGACTTGTCTTTCTCGCTTTCAAGAGCTCTCGCAATGGTCACGATGGCAAGAGGCAAACCACCACACTTCTCCACGATATCTCTAGCTACCTGATGAAGACTCGGATCTCGGTGAAATGATCTTTCTGCTGTTCTTTCAAAAAGAAGCCAAGCTTCATTCTCTGGCATTTCTCTTATTTTGAAAATTTTATCAGCTTTCATCTGGTTACAGGCACTAATACTTCTTGAAGTTAATAAGATTTTGCAACCGTGGTGCTGTCCATCTGATCCCAGCGGAACCCCGAGTTCCTCCAAGTCGAGTCTTGTCCATATATCGTCCAGTATAACCAACACCCTTGTAAGCGCTTTTAGCCTTGCACTTATCCGAGCTGCTCTTACCGACAAACTCTCTTCTTGTAGTTTCAAGCCCAAATGTTCCGCAATACTACTTTGAATTGTTTTTTTGTTGGGTGTTTGAGTGACATCTACCATGACAACTACGTCAAATAGATGCTCCCCCTTAGCTCGTACCCCAACTTCTTTTGCCATTGTTGTCTTCCCCACACCACCCATTCCACATACTCCAATCACACAAATGGCATCATCTTGTAGAGATTCCATGATGTCAGTTCTAACTGAGACCCTAGATTCAAAACCTTCAGAATTACTGAAATAAATGTAATCTGTGATTTCCACTGGCATTGGAGGATCAGAAACCTTGTTGAACTTGTACTTCTCCTGGAGTTCTAGCACATATTCCATCGTCTTCACAGCCTTCCTACTCCGTGAATAGCGCGATTTAATATCATGAAATCGCCCACCAAAACACCAGAGCCATTTATGAACTCTAACACTAGAAGCCTGTAAAACTTCATCTGCTTCTTTTTTCAACTCATCTACTCCGTTCATCCATGCCAAAACATCTGGCTTAATAACTTGTAAATTTCTCAAGGCAGCATCAACCGATTGTTGAACACTAGCTCTGCTATTTTCAAGATCCTCGACTCCATCTCTGAGTTTCTTAATGTTTGTTGTATAGTTAAAGAGATACCCATATTGGTTTTTAATTGGATCAGCCAACCATCCTCCAATCTTTAAAGTAACAGTCACTAAAGGATCTAAAAGAGCAACTAACCCAATCATTATTTCTTTTTCTTTTTGATGGGCAAAATGAACCAGACTTTGAATATGTGACCTTGTAAATGTGAAGAAAATTAACAATCAAATCTGAACTAAGAAATCATGGCAGAAATGAAGGATTGAATTGAATTTGAAACAGAACAAGAATGTTATTTTGGCGTGAAAGTGAGTACCTTAATTTGGTATTTGGAAAGACGATTAACTGGGAGAATTCATCACCAAACAGCTGAACGTGGTACAGGGGAGACTTTGACTTAACCACCACATGAGTGAACAGATATCAGAAAGATGATTGAAGTATTTAGAGTAAATTACAAAGATCGTCCCTGGACTTTGGCCAAACTTCGAGTATTGTCATCAATGGTTGGAAATTTCAAAGAATGTTATCGAAGTTTCATTATCGTTGCATTTTTGGTCCGTGACCGTGAAGACCGTTAGCTACTTCCGTTGAGTGGGAGATATTTTAATCTTTTAAAGTGTTTCATTTTTATAAATAAAAAGTTAAGTGTACAAATTCTTTAAGCATAAGTACAAGTTCGATAACAAAGAAAACAACTAACCAACCTAATCCTCCTAACCCATCCTATCATCGACGTTGGGATCCCTGTATAGGGTTTGTAAGTAATCACTATTTTAGATTTGGATAAGAATTTGAAATCGTGTAGAAATCATGTTATGAAATGATATTGCTCAAACATTAACATATCTTATTTAAAATGAATAAGAGATACAAGATGTAGAAATGACCATATTAGGTTTTGTACAAGCATATATTATACAAACCTAAATGTATGAAGAAATATGAACTAGCTAGACAATATGAATAGACTAAGCTAGAACTCAAAAGAAAGCACAAAAGAAGATTTAAAAAAAAAAAGAAAAGTGAGCTCAATGAATACGGCTTCAAGGAGAAAAGACATTTATATATGAATGGTCAATTAACAGCTTTGCCCCTTTAAGAATAAGTTTATTACTCCGCTACCCTCTAAGTTCTCCAAGAAGTGAGGCACAGTCCTCCTTCTTTCCAAAGCTCTTTATTTTCCAAAGATGACAAAATCTAACCTGAATTGTTAAACACATATTTTTTCTAAAGATGACAAAATCTACCCTGAATTGTTAAACACATTAACAAACAAGTACAAACAGACTAATTTAGTAAAGATTGGAAAAATATATATATTTCAACACCTGCCCTCAATCTTGACTTTTGAACAAATTAAGCATTCTTAATTTTGAATACAAATAATTGTGATGATTTATGTTAAGAGTTTTAGTTAAAATATCAACAACTTGTTCAGAAGAAGGAACTTCTACAACTTTTAAAATACCTCTATTAATTTTTTTCACGAATGAAATGTATGTCTATCTCAATATGTTTTGTACGTTCGTGAAAAACATGATTATTAGCAATCTGAATTGCAGACTTATTATCACAAAACAAGTTAACTGGAAGAAGATTACTTATTTCAAGATCAACAAGAATTTTAAGCACCCAAACAATTTCACAGGATATAGAAGCCATAGCTCTATACTCTGACTCAATAGAAGATCTAGAAACAGTATTTTGTTTCTTACTTTTCCAAGATATAAGAGAATTTCCAAGAAACAAGCAATAACCAGTAATAGAGCGTCTAGTAGAAAGACACTTACCCCAGTCTGTATCTACATAGGCGTAAAGATTAAAATTTTATGACCTTGTTAAACTAATACCTTTTCTAGGAGAAAGTTTAAGAGATCTGAGAATTTTGAGAGCAAGAGTTTAATGTGACTGCCTTGGAGAGAAAGTTATATCAGATCTAGTAGCTAACAGATATATCAATCTGCCAATTAATCTTTGAAAACCAGAACAATCAGTCAATAGAGAATCTTTATAATTATTTGAAGCATTTATAATTAAATTTACATCCATAGGAGTATTTGATGGCTTACAACTCAAATATCCAAAATCATTTAACAATTATAGACAGTACTTTCTTTGAGACATGTAAATACCACCAATACAATCTAAAATTTCAATACCCAATTTTTTTTTTTAATTTTCCTAGATCCTTGATCAAAAAATTACTTTTCAAATATTCCTTAAACTTGTTTATTTCAATAAACTGTTTCCAGTAATAACAATGTCATCCACAAAAACAAGAAATATAAGAAACACAAAATTTACACATTTGGTGAACAAAGAGTAATCACTTATACTTCGAACAAATCCATTTTCAGTTAAACATGACAAAAGTTTGGCATACCATTGACGTGGGGCTTGTTTTAAACCATACAATGATTTAACTAACTTACAAACACGTTTGTCATTTGAGTTATAATACCCTTCAGGAAGAGTTATATAAACATCTTCTACTAAATCACCATATAGAAAAGCATTATTAACATCAAGTTGAAATAAAGGCCAATTAAATTGAACAGCCAAAGCTATAATGCATCTAACAGTGACCATTTTGACCAATGGAGAGAAAGTTTCTTCGTAATCGATACCTTCTCTTTGACTATAACCTTTCGCAACTAACCTAGCCTTATACCTTTCAATTTCTCCAGTTGATTTATATTTTATTTTTATTAACCCAATTACATCCTATTGCTTTTCTATTATTAGGTAATTCAGTGACATACCAAGTCCCATTTCTATGCAAAGCCTCCATTTCATCATTCATAGCTTTTACCCAATTTTGATCAATACAAGCTTCTTTAAAACATTTGGGTTCAACAAATTTATTTAAACCTGAAACAAAACAGCCATTTTCAAAGGAAAGACAAGAATAATTAACCACTCTTTCTATACCATACTTAACTTTTCCTTCAACCACAAAATCATCATATTTATGAGGAAAATTGATAGGTCTAGAAGATCTTCAAACAGATTGAGGTTGGGATTGAACACCCTCAGAGGTATGACCCAAAGACATTTCATTATCATTAATAACTGTCCTTTCAGTCTATAGCACATCATCACGAGGATTACTGGCAACCATTCCAGGGGTGTCCAAAGGCTGCCAACTGGTAACTCTGTCAAGGTCATCTTCATTAGAGGGACCTTGACTATTTTGTAAAACAGAGCTGCCTAGCGACTGCCTATTGTCAGCTCTAAGCAGGCTACCTAGCTCACTACGGTTATTGTACCTAGAATCAGACTGAAAATTATTTCCATCAATAGGAGGGTCATTATTAGTATTCTCATCATCGGGTTCCACAACAACAAAATCATTAGAAAAACTAGGAACCATATCAAAAAAATTAAGACTGTTAACATCATTATTATCAAGTTGATCAGTTTCATCCATACTCATCTTGAAAGGAAAAACATTCTCATAAAACTTCACATCTCGAGAAAAAATAATTTTCTTGGAGTCAAGACTATAAAGCCTATATCCTTTTTTCGAATTTGCATAACCTAACATAACACATTTTTCAGATTTGGGTAAAAATTTATCAGTAATGTTAGGTATACAGGCAAAACATAAACTACCAAAACTTCTCAAATGAGTAAGGACAGGCTGAAACCCATACACAAGGTCATAGGGTCTCTTACCATTTAAAATAGAGGTAGGCGTTCTGTTTATTAAGTATGTAGTAGTTAAAATGCATTCATTCCACATATAAAGAGGAACCCCACCCTAAAACATGAGAGCCCTACCAACATTGAGCAAATGACGATGTTTACGTTCTACAACACCATTTTGCTGAGGGGTATAGGTACATGAGGTTTGACAGATTATTCCTTTAGACTCAAAAAATTCACTTAATTTGTTATTAACAAACTCTGTTCCATTATCACTTCTAAAGGTTTTAACAACTTTATCAAACTGAGTATAAAGAGGATTGCAAAAACTCTCAATATATTCACCAACCTCATGTTTCCCTTTTAACAAATATACCTAGACATCACGAGTAAAATCATCAACTTCAGTTAGAAAATATCTATGACCTTCACTACTCTGAATACGATAAGGACCCCACACATCAAGATGAACAAGTTCACCGAGACTTGTGGTTTTATGAATGCTAGTAGTGAATTTTTCCCTCGTTTGTTTAGCCTTATGACAAACCTCACAAGGACCACATTGTTCACTACTAACATTAAGTTTATCTTTTAAAACATGAAGCACTTGATCAGCTGGGTGACCAAGGCGATTATGCCATTATTGGGATGAAACAGAACACACCATACCATTATTAACAGAAAGGACAGAGATACTGCTAGTAGGATTATGATCAAAGAAGTATAAACCATCATTCTAACTACCAGTCCCTACAACACTCTTTAGATGACAATCCTGAACATAACATTTAGATTCATCAAATCGTATGAAAACTTTATTGTCCCTAGCCAACTTATGAACAGACAGAAGGTTGACATTAAATTCAGGAACGACTAGGACATCAAATAGAGTGACATTATTAGATAATTTGAAATTCCCAAATTTATTTATTTTAGCCTTAGGGGCCGTTTACCAAACGCTTACTCGAGTAAGTGAACATCAAGTCACATTACCTTACCAGATGAATATGGTAAGGACCAAGAATCTTACCTGGTAATAGCGAGACAAGGACCAAAAGTCTTATCCGGTAAGTGAGGGCGATGACTCTTACCATGGTAAGCACTTATCAGGTAAATTGTTGCATACGATACAGTTTTGGTGGACTAAAATCTTACCCGATAAGTAAATGATAGTGTTAAATTTTACCGACAAGCGCTTACCAGGTAAGTGTTTGGTAAACAGCCCCTTAGTCCCATTAGGATGATTAACTCTTAGGTTTAAATAAGAAACATCACCAATATTATCAAGATTTAAACTACTTGAATTCATATGTTGGTTAGCTTCGGAATCAATTATCCAACCTAGTTGAGTTGTCTGAAACATACCTGCCATATTGGCAGTGGCTCCATCAGGGAAAGGTTTTTGATCAATGAGGCTCAAATTTTTTGCAACCTGTTCTTCTGAAAAGGCAAATGATGACTTTGAAGGAAAATATTCAGAAGTAGAGACATTCCC